TGCCGCACTGTCCGCCCGCTCCCGCCACTGCTCATAGGCTGCCAGCAGGCTCGTACCCGCATCGGGGAACACGTGGTCCACTGTGGGGTGGCGTGGTCAGCCAGTCTCCCCGCACCCCTGCCGGATGCCAGGGACCCACGAGCTCCTCCCCAGCGTCCCCACCCTCCTGTTGAACTTGGGAGCAGGGTGGGCCCCAACCTGCTGCAGCAAGTCTCTGGGTGGGTCTAGAATGAGGGGGCTGTGCTGTGTGTGGCCACCCAGGCCCCACGGCACCTGTATCTGTGGGTGCCCGAGCTAACCGGGAAACCAAGTACTAGGACAGGGGCTTGGAGTCCCAGGGCCTGCAGGGATTGTGCTGTGACAGGTGGGCTCAGGTCCCTCCCCAGGCCCCTCTGGGATGTGTTTGGACAAGGCTGTGAAGCCAACATGGAGTGCTCGTGGGATAGCAGGAAGACAACGACCTCTCCCAGAGGGGGCCTTGATCCCAGGGAAACCCCCAGGCTCAGGCCCCCGACAAGCGACATTTTGGTTTTGGGATATTTTGGATAAAAAATATAATGATCCTGCAAAAACCTGTATTATGGCTCCAAGGTCCCCAGGTTCCCCTAATCCACTGCTTGTTTGACCGTTGACCTCAGGTAAGCTATTTACCGAAATGCACTTAATATTCCCTCCCTCAGGGTTTTGTGGGATTAAGTGCTCACATCCAAGGGTCATCAAGGTCACCCCACCCACCCCGCCCAGCCCCGCCCTGCAGCACCTCCTCCACGATGTCTCCATTCTCTGCGTGCACCTGGGCCACTGCCCCCAGGTCCCGGATGATGCTGAAGATCTCATACATCTGGGAAGAGAGGTGGACAGGGTCCGTGTCGGGCTGCGTCTGCTCCAGCAGTGGCCTGAGACATACCTGCTTACCCCTTCTCTCTGCACCTGCCCTTACCTGGCCGTCTGTGCACTGGCACCTGTCCTTGTACGCCATGAAGACCAGGAAGGAGTTCACACCTGCAGGAGAGGCGGGAGGGGCTCAGACGGGTCGGCTGCCAGTCGGACACCCCAGGGAGCCTCCGCTGCTCCGGCTCTCCAGCGGGGCTAGGGCCCCTCTCCCAGGGGTGCTTCACCAGCTGGCACGGCTGGCCCTGTGGCCGCGTCCCAGCCCCTCCTGCCTGCTCCTCGTGCTGTGGGTTCAGGAGTCGACTGTTCACTGAGCAGCAAATGCAGGTGAGAACCCCCACACCTGTCTAACCCCTGTCCAATAGACGTCCCGCCTCTGGGCGGGACAGAGATCCTGTGCTGGGGGCTGGGTGCCTGGCTTCCGCCTGCCGCACTTCCACCAAGTACAGCCTGGCCCTGGTGTGCTGGGGACCCTCACTCTGGCCATCTGGCACATCACCTGCCTGCAGGGCCTCAGATCCTGCCTTGCCGGGCCCAGCTCACGGAGCACGCTCAGGCACATCTCAGGGGTCCTCAGCCAGGCTGGGATCTCAGGATAAGTAGAGGAACAGGAGCCAGCAGCCCATGGCCTCGGGGCCCGACCATGACAGGGCCGAGCTCTCCTGTTCTGTGGGCAGCCAGGGCCCACCCACTTCTCCAGGACTTGGGGCCTGCATGGGGACCCAGCTGGGCCTGGAGGCAGCACCCTGAGCCTCCTACCATCCAAATCCACTCAGCCCAGGGCCCCGCTCTCCTCCCTGGTGCTGATGTGAGGAGCTACAGCACAGTGGAGGAACTAAGTCACCCTGTGCCACGCCAGCCCCCCCAGGTGACAACCTGCAGTGACCGGGCGTTGGGGGCCCACCCAGAGTATCCGATGGAGCCTGTAGGTTGGGATGCATCCTGGTCCCTGGGACCCCTCCAGTGAGCACAGGACAGCGGCCATGCCCAGCTATGGTGGGAGCAGAAGTCCCACCCAGCACTGCCCTGGCAGGGTGAGAGGGGGCTCCGTGGGCTCTACCTCCGCCTGAGACTCAAGGCTTCCCAATGCCAACTAAGGAGCAGCGTGGTGGCAGACCTGCTGCCGGGACTGTGGCCCAGAGGCCAGAGTTGACTGACTCCACCAGCCCCGCGGGGAGGCGGAGGTCCTGAGTGCCAAAGGGCACCAGTGTGGAGACTGTCGCTCTTTGGGAAATGGCCTGTAAGAAACCCCCTGCCTTCTCCAGGTCTGCAGCGGGAGGGCAGCTGGAGTTCCCTGGGCGGGCCGGGGCCTGTGGCAGTGAGCTTGATGTCTGGGCCCCAGCTGGTCCCCCACATGCTCTGGCCCTGTCCTGCCCCCACTCCAGGCTGTAAGCTACGGATCGCATTGGGAGCTCAATTACGGGAGGTCAGTTATAATGTTAGACTTTTCCCAAACCCGCTATGAAACTTGAGGACTTTTAATGGGAGAAAAGCTAAGCCTTGTTTCCAGACTGGTCTGTTTCAGGGTAGGTGGCAGTAGAGAAATGCAGGTTGTCACATGTTCCTCTCCAAAGAGGGTCTCAGAATGCCGGGAAAATGTGCAGCCACTTCTCCTGCACCCCGGGCAGCTTTGTATCCAAGAGAAAAAGGGGAATCCACTGACTGCCTGACTATGGTGTCCCCTTGTAGGGAGAACAGTGACAGGGTGTGTCTCTTAGGTGAGGAAAGGAGAAGACCTCTTGGTCTGGGTTCTCTGACAGCACAGCAGACTCCGAATGACTCTCACTCAACTTTCCTGCTCTTGAGGTCAGGTCAGCCCGGCGTCCAGCAGGACACAGGGGTTGGAGCCCAGATTCCCGTACCTGCCCCCTCCCGCCGCTCACCCTTGTCCTTGGCCAGGGCCTCCAGCTCCTCCTTGATGCTCTCATGCCAGCGGGGGATGTCCACGTGCAGGGAGTAGTCACAGCAGGCCGCACTGTCCGCCCGCTCCCGCCACTGCTCATAGGCTGCCAGCAGGCTCGTACCCGCATCGGGGAACACGTGGTCCACTGTGGGGTGGCGTGGTCAGCCAGTCTCCCCGCACCCCTGCCCCCCAGGAGATCTGGTTTCATATTCCCAAGAGATCAGAAAATGTGTCTGAAGACACAGGAGCAGCCACCTCAGCCAGGAGCCTGCCCATCAGCTCCATTCCAGAGGCGCCTTTGGTCCCACGCACCCAGCCTCTCTCTGAGCAGAGAGAAGAGCTGGAGATCCAACCACCCCACTCCCAATGGCCACCGCAGCCCAAGGTGCCGACCACCAGCACAGGTCCCAGCCGAGGGGGCGCTGTCCGTGGTGCTGGGCTGGCTCCTGCGTGCCCTGCTCACGGCCACTGCGCCCTCACCCCACTGGCCCCATGTCCAAGGTCCACACACCGCTCGCTGGCCTCTCCTGGGTGCAGCCAGGCTCAGATGGGGGTGGCTGAGCAGGAAGGTGCACCCACCCAGGACAGCCAGCGAATGCCTCTGTCCAGCCCACCACTCCCCACAGCCATTCACAGCTCCAGCTGGCGCCCCCAGGTGAAGGAGGGAGTGCTGGACGGGGCAGCCTCATGCCTACAGCATTTCTCTATCCCTGGGGACACCTCACAGCTTGTGGGATGCCTTGACACTGGTGTGAGTGAGTGACATTGGATGTCATGGCCAGCCTGGGACCACCGTGAGGACTGTGAGCATTTGGGCCAGCTTCCTTGGTCAGAATACAAGATTGCTCGTCTCTCCTAACTTCTTGGTTGAGTAAACCAAACCAAGCCATGATTTTGGCAGTGGCTATATGTCACTTGTGAAGTAGCCCAGAGTCCTCAGAGCTCCCCTCCCCGGTGACAGTGTTTGCTGTGGCCAAGCACACACAGCAAAGTGTGCATTAACTCATTCAATCCTCACGACCTTGTAAGGAGAGGGCTCTTCCTCCGAGGTTACAGACCAGCAAAGAGCATCTTACAGAAGTCAGCTGAGTTACCTGAAGTCACACAGCTAGAAAAAGGCAGAGTCGGTGTTCAGCCAGGGCCATAAGACCAGCTTTTCACCGTGCAGAGACATCTGTGCCTGGCTCTGTGGAGCTGATGGCGTTCGAGGCCATGCAGCGTGGGGAGGAGCTGAGCTCTGGGGTCTCTTCCCAGCTCCTGAGCTTACTGCATGTAAGTTCAGGGTGGCAGGTGAATGCACCTCACAAGCTTGTTAAATGGGGCTTCTCCTCTGAGCTCAGAGGGTTTTAGGAAGGGAGCCCTGACCTAAAGCACATGAGGACGGGACCCGTGTCTGGCACACAGGCGGCACCAAAGAAAGAGGACCTCTGCTTGTTGCTGACAAGCTAACAATGAGCACTACTGTCAGCCTTTCCCTAAAAACACAGCCTCCATCTGTAACTCTTCTCGACATGGGCAGGAGCTTTCCGCAAGTCAAGCTTTGGAGGTGTGATGTTCAGAGTCAAGCATATGTCTGATATCCTCGTCCAAGGCATTTGGGTTTTCCGAACCCCAGCCCCCAGCCAGCTGTTAGTTCCCGGGAAATAGTGGCTGGCACACACCCTTTTGCTCCCTGGACTGCAGGGCTGGCCAAGGCAAAATGACCTGGAATAAGCAGCATGGACCACAAAAGGGCACTAAAGGTTTTCTGAGGCTGAGATGCAATAAAGGAAAACACTGTCATGTAGAGCTCCTGTAACACACATATGGGCTGGATGCTGCCCCCTGCCAGGGGGCCCAGACACTCACAGATCATGGTGGTCCCTCCTGCAAGGGCTGCCTTGGTGCCTTGATAGAAGTCATCAGCTGGGGTCATGCCCAGGACAGGCATCTGCAGCCTTGTGTGGACATCGACTCCACCTGGTAGGACCATCAGGCCATGGGCATCGATGGTTTTGATACCCCCAGGGACAATGAGGTTTTCTCCAATTTGTCTGAAAGTGACAAGGAAAGATTTCACTGGTCACAGAGCCCAGATCAGAACCTGAAGGGGTTGTGGAGCAATGCAGAGAGGCTGAGAAGTGCGTGGGTGAGCTCCTGTCCTTGAGGAATGTGCAATGTGGCCGACCACCTACCTGGACCAGCTCCTTGAGGCTGTCAGAGAGTAAAGCACCCCCTAAGTGGCCTGAGACTGTCAACGTGGAGGGTCCAGCCTTGTGCAAACGTGACCCCCCTTTTGTTTTCCACTAAAGTTTCTATTTGCTACTTTATTGACTAGAGGCTGGAGCTGCTTGACAGGTACAAGCAGAGACGCTAATAGGTGTGGTAAGTAAGTACTTATTAAGCACCTACTGCAAGCCAGGGGTTGTACTAAGTGCTGTGGCAACACAAAGAAATATGGAAACTGCTGTCCTGTTTTCCGAGACCTTGCGACTAACTGGCGAGAGTCTGTTATCACCGAAGTCTTGGGTCTGCAGTGGTAACTGCATTATGGTTTCCAGGCAACAGGGTTTTGGAAACGACAAAAAGCATTTACATGGATTTCACCCAAAAGTAAACTGCCTGGATACCATGTATTTTGGTATGATCTATGAACGTATTTTTGGCAGAAACTTACTTTATCAAACCGTCTTCCACATACAAATCAGCATAAAAGGATTGGTCGTCATTGACGATCTTCCCACCTCTGATCAGAAGGCGGTCGCTCTGGGGAAACAGAAAACGGATCATTTTTCTCCAAACTGAGTTACTCAGCAACACCATTAGTGCAACTTCCTCGTCTGGAATTATGACTGAAACATTTGGGCATAATTTGTAGACAGAAAAACGAGCACAAAGGCCTGTAACTATCTACCATACCCCAAGAACGGGGCAGAGGACGCTCGAAGGCAGCTGCCCGAGAGGCCACCCACGGCCTGGCCCTCACCTGCTGCTCAGAGTTTGGCGTCGCCAAAGGCACGGGGTGAACGGAGAGCACCAGGGCAAAGCCGGTGCTGGTGAAACTGCAGCAGCGCAACGGACCATGCTGACCCCCTAAAGTTATACCTGATTAAACCCGCCTGGGCAAGAGGGAGCTGCGTGCCACAACCGCCTGCGCTGGCCTCGGAGGCCTGCTCTCCCGCTGCCCTCTCCCTGCCACACTGAGGAGGCCGGGAGCTGACACAGCTGGACTTGGCTTCCACCAGGACACTGCAGGCATACTGGGGACTGGGAGTAGAGCAGCACCCTAATAGGCAAGTCCCCGTCCCGGGAGGCTGCACTCCAGTGGGCAGAGACAGACAACGGCAAAGAAGACACAAACACGAGATTGTCACAGGCTGTGACAGACACAAAGAGCACAGAGAGGGTGGCGTGACAGGGATGGGCGAGGAGGCAAGGCTGCTTCAGGGATGGAGAGGGGACCCCTGAGGAGCTGACACTAGAGGCAGCACAGCCAGGGGAGAGTTCCAGGCCAGGGAGCAGCCTGTGCAAAGGCCCTGAGGCAGGAAAGAGCTTGAGCTGACATTGACCTGAGAAGAGAGAGGGCTGGAAACTTCTGAGGGGAAGGCTGAGTGCAGGGCCCAGAGCTGGCGGAAGTGGGATGTGCTGGCTCGGGAGTCGACGGGCTGCCACTGGAAGACCTTAAGAGGTTTTCATTGTGGTCTGACGTTTTAAAGAGATCACATTATATGCCACGTAGAAGGTAGAATATGGCGTTCGACATGGAAATGGGGCTGTGGCTTGGGTGGTTTCTGAGGCTGTCCAGGTGTGAGGAGGCCTTGGGCCAGGATTACAGGGAGGTAGTGAGAGATGGACTCCATGGGGGCTGGGTGTTGCTGGTGGAGAGGCCGTGGTGTGAAGGGTAAAGGGGAAAGTGGTGACCACAGGCTCCAGTAAGGCTCGGAGGCGCCCTACATGGGTGGCAGAGTGCAGGGGCCAGGCCCTCTCTTGGTGGCTCATCCCCCTGCAGGAGCTGTGGCATCAGACACTGGCAGGTTCCCATGCTTGGCAGCCCTGAAACCACTTCTCAGAATCCCAGCAAATGGTCGGGAAGAAGGGGAGCTGGGCAAGGGTGGGGCATCGTTAGTGGTACTTTGCCTGGCTGTCACAGGCAATCACCTGACCTCAGCAGGGAGCAGTGAGCAGAAACCCAAAAAAGAAGGGGACGAGCAGGCCCGGGCAATGCCCCTCAGCTGCGTGGCCTGTAGCACGTCCTTGTCCTGCGTGCGGGGCTCCAGCCTCCTCACGCACCGCTGCTCTGACGCTGCGCCCAGCCCAGCAGTGCGGCCAGGAGACCTCCAAGGGGCACCGAGGTAGGGGGAGTGTGTTCGTTATTCTGACTGACGTCTGACTTTTGGGCTGTATTTTCAGGATTCCATTGATTACAGGTAAAACCACAACTCCATAGTCTACGAAAGGGTGGGCCAGCCATGCCTCAGGTCAACGCAGCCCTCTATCTGTCTTTATCCATCCTGGAGCTAAGAACAGTTTTCAAATTTTATATTAGTTGAAAAAAAATCAGAAGAAGAGTATTTTATGACTCGAAAAGTTTCAGTGTCCACAGATAAAGTTTTATTGGAACACAGCCATGCCCATTAATTTCCTATCGTGTAGAACCACTTTTCTTGAAGGTGGAGCTGTTGCAGCAGAAACAGAACGGCCCACAAAGCCGAAACTGTTTACTCTTTGCCCCTTATGGACGAAGTCTGCTGACCCGTGGTCTACGGCCCTGCACATCCCACCTGTGGGCCCTCCCCCCGCCCCACACCCACTGTGTCCTGCAGATGCTACCTCCCTGTGCCCACTGGGCACCAGACCAGCCCTGACCCAACACAGCCACCCACTTAGGCCCAGGCTGCCTGCCGAGGCCACCCCCTGACAGTGGATGAACCCACTCGCAGGTAAGCCCAAGGAAAACGCAGCAGGAAGAGGAAGGCTGGGGGGCAGAGGAGACTTGCAGTCCCGGCTCCTGCTCACACCTCACCCCAAGTGTTCAGGCACCTGCACCCAGATTCTGGGAATCTTCTTGGGTTTGGAACCCAAGGGAATCGCAGCTGAAAGGTGGCGAATGTGGCACAGTGGGGCTCTTACTGGTCTCATCAGAGCCAGGGTGCAGGTTCCGGTAGAGCAGCCACCCCTCCTGACATGTTGCCTGACCCACCCCGACATGGGGTCCTGCAGCCACCCAGAAGCTCCGTCCCTGTGCCACCTGGCTGGTGGGACCTCCCGCGTCAGGCCCGGGGCCTGAGGGACAGTGGCCAGTCTCGAGACAGGAGCCCCTCCCGTATGGGCAGGGGACGGTCTCCTTCCTCGCTGAGGGTCTCAGGAAGGAGCCAGCCCTCAACGGCCCACCCCACTCCACCGCCCGCCCACGAGGGTCCAGTCCAGAGTGGGCTCCCAGGGGCCTCCTCCCTTCCATCCCTCCCCGGTCTTCCCCCACCCGGGTTCGGGCCGCCTGAGTTGGGCGTGGACAGCCTGACGTCCCGCACCGGTGCGGCGGGTGCTGTGCGGGAC